AATCATCGGTAATAAATATCTGAAGAGAGATAATGATTTCTATATCACTGTAAATAGAGTTAGAATTAACTTTAGAACATATCTATATAACATATGACAAATAATTTAAAACCTAGGTGTAAATTTCTTGATGATTCCCTTCAATCATTTAACAGTTGTCTGCGTTAGTCAATTTTATTTATTAAAAAATTTAAACAGATGAATCAACTTTTCAGTGGTCACTTGTTTCATTAAATAGGATGAATGCAAAAATGTTAGCAAATGTTTTCTATGATCACTATAGTTAATAACAGTTGGGAAGTGTAGAAACTATAGTATTTATATCATGAGTCAATTGAAGCTAGACCACCATGGGAAACCTGGAAGCAATGGACGGCCGTTTCGTCCTGCTTCCAGGTCTAGCTTCAATTGACTCACGATCTCAACTATTAAAATTACTATAATATCCACAAAACAGTTTCTGATATAATGTTTTTAGTTTATAGATTATAAAATCACTTCCTTTAAATAACAAAATAACTGTTCTTAGCAGAGATGGATGGTGGCTAGTAGTGAAATCCAGGACCCGTTAGCTGGATGTACTTACATCCCTGAAATATCGAAGCATTTCGATCAGAATGCATGTATGCCAAATAAAAAACTGATCTATTACTGTCCTAAACATCAATGGGTAAATTTAAACAACCAATACAAATGAATTGAAATAACTGTTTGGTTTTAAGTTCTATACAGCATTAACTTTTTAAAAGTGATTTATGCCTTACTAAACAAATCAAATGAAGCAATGTTTGTTAAATGTAACGACAATAAGCATAAATTTATATAATTTTAATAGTTGAGAACATGAGTCAATTGAAGCTAGACTACCATAGAAAACCTGCAAGCACTAGATGGCGACATCTCAGCAGTGCGAATGCACGATTTCGACCCGCGAGATTCCAACCCAGGAACTATCAATCTTGCGCGCGAGCGCTTAACCGTTCGACCACTGAGCCTGCATTCAACAGTATTAATGTCTAACTTCAACTGATCCATGAAATTGAGCCACCGTTCACGATTGTCTTAAGTGAGTCACTATCTCACAACAGCCCCGGTTGGACTCCACTGGTCACCGCTTTTCATTAGAACTCCAGTAAATGTCTCTTGGAGACCGCGCAAGACTGATAGGTCCTGAGTTGGAATCTTGCGAGGCGGGATCGTGGATGTGTACTGCTAAGAAGTCCCACAATAGGACGGAACGGCCGTCCAGTGCTTCCAGGTTTTCCATGGTGGTCTAGCTTTAACTGACTCATGATCTCAATTATTAAAATTACTATAATATCCACAAAACCCATTCTGATATAAAATTATGTAATTAATGTTCAATGAATATTTAGTTCCAGTAATAAGGATAAAAAGTTGGTTGTTCTTGAAATAAGTATTTCTGTAAAGATCTAGTTATTATTCTTCTCCTTAAATGTATTCACCAATGAAATTGATACCAACTGTCCAGGTAGGTATTTCCAATTGTTCACCATTCGATCCTAATCTGGGCTTGTTCGATGATAGTTAATAAACCTCTTTCGACGGGCTCAGTGATGATACATTCTTGGGTAAACAAAAATATCTAGCATTTTAACATCTAAATCATTAAGATACGGGATGAGAAGATAAGATCATCTAGCTTTCTGTAATAGAATTAGAGAGAAAATATTTAAACATATTAAATTCTCTTCATAGAAGAGATTAAAAAGAAATATCAGTAACTTGTACCTACTTGAGAGTATCAAAACCTTTGATAAGATATAGACTTGCTACTTAAGTTGAATATTCCAAATGAAGTATCATATAGACAAAGTATAGAATTGAAAACATATTTCTTTCAAAACAGTTGAAGGCTTTGAAAATTGGCTATAGCACACAAAACTCTTTAACGGCTGCTGTGTTGAACTTTGTAGTCTTTTTCAAGTGACGGTTTACAACTGTCCTCAAGTCTTTTTGGTTCATACACTTGTAGAAGTAGTGTGTCCTTAATAGTGTACTGGTAAATATTAACATGATCATTGTAAATTAGCACACTTCCTTGAGTTAATCTCTAACCCTAACTTTGGGATTATCTAAATCATTCTGAAGCTTAAACTTATCAGCATTGCTATTTATTATTTATCAGACATTAAAATTATCTGCAAATAGAAGTAATAGAAGTAATGACTATCTAAATACTGATTTGTTAATATATGATAGGAATAGTAGGGAATTTAAGACTTAACTTTGTAACACACTACTTAACACAGATTCTCATTTGAAGACAAAGAGAAAGTCCTGTTTACCCTTATTTTCTGTCTTCCATCACATACAAAATTGTCAACTCATTTCCATAAAAAATAACTAATTAAAGTCTGTAAACCTCATTAAATAGTACATTTCAATGAACCAAATTAGTTCTATTTTATTTTTGATAAAATGTTTTTTAATAATACAAACAGAAGTAGACAAAAACGCCATTTATCACTCTACTAATATTTGCCCATATAAACAAGGATATATTGAAGTGCAACATGATGCATAAATGATAAAAGCATTCAGAATAGTAATTAAGTTTCATTGAAATCATAAACCAACCAATGTTAAACCACCATTGAAAACCTGGAAGCACTGAATAGCCATCTTGTCCTATTATGGAACTCCTCAGCAGGACTCGGACTCACAACCTTCGGTCTCACGTGTAAATGCTTAAACTCCATATCACCGAGTTCGGATTTAACGGTGTTGATGTGTAACCAACCTTTGGTGTCATACGACCATCTGTGCACTGCTGAGGAGTCATAAACCAGGACAAAACGTCCATCCAGTGCCTTCAGATCTTCAATGCTTGTCTATCATTGATCGGTTCATGATTTCAGGGAAATTCAACAATCTCCACAACCCCAAACTGAAACAAGCCATTAAACTAATTTTACAGTTCTATGATGATAAGATGTACATAAGTCATTGTTTAAACATTGTAAATCACTTTATTTTCTATTATTACACTCAACTCAATTGAATTTGTTTAATCCAGAAACTTTTGTTACAATACGTAATGTAGGCATCTTTAAAATTACACACGACTATCTTTGAAGGTACAAACGGAAAACTTTTTCGAAACTCTTTTATTCATAATGAATTGTAATTTCAGCGTTCAAATGTTTTTGCCTCATAGTGGACAACTTATTTGTAAGTATACTAATATGAGTATATGATATTCTACACCAGTTCAATTGGTAAGTTTCAAATGGGATCTCACTTCTTACTATGACTCGTCTATTCCTAATTCCTAAGTTACTTAACACATACATTTAAAAACTCCAACAGTCTAATCCGAGCCATACTTTATGCATATGAATGTAAAAGAGTACTTGCTAACTGACTGCTCAAATCCAAGTAGATAGAAAATTTATCGTATTAACTATTCTACAGGTTTAAATGTAAAGTCTAGGTACTTTGACAAGAAATATGATATTATCAATAAAAAGAGTTTGTGGAGACTGTTAAATTTAACGGATCATATCACAAACTGATCTTAGTTAAACAAATACTGAATACCAGTAAGAATTGGAAATCTGTTTCGTCCTAGCATGAACCTCTTCAGTAGTGTACATCTAGTAGCTCATCTAGTGGTCGAACCCAGAACATTTAGAGTTACCACTTAATATTCAAACCATTATATTGTCATCTAATGGTTTATATGTCCAGCTTTAATTAATTTGCGATATTACGCAATCAACTGCTAATTCAATCGATAAGTAACTGACTCACACTCGATATGACTAAACTCTACTAGTTAAAATTTCTCATCAGAACTCTATTTATTACTTCTTGAAATAAGTCACTAGGAATTACATAATAATTTTCAGTATAAGGATGAAATAACTATTCAGTAGTTCCTAATTTCCAATGATTGTTTAACTATGAATGGTCATTGATTTAGGTTATACAAAACTATGAGAATAATAAACAAAATACTACTGATAATAAACAACTAGTAGACCAATACTATGAACTAAATAATGTCTAAAATTTGATTTTGGATTCCGATTACCAATTATATTAAATGATTTCGAAGTTGTTCAACACTTCATAGATGATAATAATAAGAACAATAATAGATCGACTAGGTTATTTTTCATATAGAATAGATGGGATATAACTAACAGTGGAATTTAGGATATATGTTTCATCCTATTTCGGACTCGTCAGTTGAATGTACCATGCCAACTACAAGATACGAAATTTCAACAACGTGATAATCTGTGCCACTTCAAATTGAATAGGATTAGTTTTTGTTTCGTCTGCTCCCTTGATGCTACAAATCTCTTCTTCAATCCACATCATATATTCTATGACAAGAAAAAAACAAATGAGTTCTATCAATGGATACATTTTAATACACACACACATCAACAATGTGAAAGCAAAAAACTGTGTATCTTATAGAGATAATGTGATCACAACCAGTATACCGGTTTGTTTGTTTGTTTGTTTGTTTGTTTATGTTTATTTAAAAACATATTGACATCATTTAAATAATTACTAACACTAATTACTATATCAACTTTGAAATTAAATGAATCAATTGAATCAGTTGAAGCGAATGGTACTAGGTTCGAACCCTAGAGTAAGCATCAACTTAAAGATGTAATTACATTCAGATGATGAGTCCTAAACAGGACAAAACGCACATTTCGAATTTCATTGTTAGCTATCTACTTGTAAGTTGCTTTTTGTTCATTTATTTATTTACCTTATTAATGCTTGTTCATTGATAATCTGAGATAGAATGGAATAAATTTCAATTTTAGTTGTTATCCAATTGAAATTTGAACAAACATTAAATTCATATACTTTTCAGTGTCTCTATGTTTAGTCTTTTTTTTAAAGAAAAAACAGAGATATATTTATAGTATGAATTAATTAGTGGGTGTTTTAAAATTATTATAAATATAACATCAGTTTGTTTACATGAAGCGGTTTTTTTTAGGGATTTCAATTGTATAGTTACTGATGTAAGTTAATTGTCAGTTTTGATAGGAAGCTTTATTATTATTATTATTATTATTATTATTATTGAAAATCCCTATTTATTATTGTTGAATCTATATAAGTGAATTGTGAAGATTTTCTCTTGTAAGTTCTTATGAAAAGAAACATTTTCAATGTAGGTTAGATGAATTATAGTTAGTGATAAAGTCGAAGAATTGAGTTTTTAGTGGGGCCCGTCGTTTCGTCGTCGTTTAGATCGAACGATGTTGTCGAAAGGGCTCTCCACTTTAGTGGCCCGAGGATCTGACTCCGATTAGATCGTATGAATGTTTTCTATGACCTATCCTCGTATATATTATCATCGACTTAAATCGCGTTAGTCAATAACGGATTTAGATAAGTCAGATAACGAGAATTGACTTGTGAATACATATATTTTGTATATGAAGTGAATGGAATAGAGAGAAGAGAAACGACGCACAGTGGAGATGGCTGGTAAGCCAACTCCCATTTAACCAAGCGTTAATCAATAATTATAGTTACACAAAAGTAAGTTACAGACATGTGATGAGTAATGGGATAAGAAATGTACACACACCTACACGCCCATATAAAAACAGTCAAGATTGATAAGCGAATAAATAACAAGGTCAGAATGTGACTCAGGTAGAATGGGCTGTCTGAAAGCTACAATAAGGTACATGGGCTTAACATAGTAACCAACACTACAGTTTCATCTTGTTTGAAATTTTTCAGCTGGATTTCCATGAATTTCAAGATAATCTACATAGATTGAACATATGTTAACAAAAACTGACTAAAATTTGGTTAAGAATATTCACAAAGGGGATAATTCAAATTGTTTTTATGAATGATTCTAGTGGAACCATTTCTAGAGCTAATGAGCAATAATGAGTATTCAACAACTGTTGGGTCTAATTATGTTACATATGATTGGTAACGGATAATAATGATAATAATGTCATGAGATATACTAAATTGACTGAAATAAGATATGTGACACATTGGATTTTATCTCAGTGATTTGAATATACTGCGTCCATTTTGAGATCCGTAAGTTATGGATTCGATCCTGTATATTGTTGTGATTTTAAAGCCGGCTTATTATTACATGATTTATTCGCCAATCGAAATACAACTTATTCAATCTTAGTGTTGTATCGAACCAATTACGTTCGACCGGTATGAACAGCCCAACGTCCTTATTGGTTCCAATTTAATCCAGAACGCAAACAACAGCTTCTACTATATGAATCATTCATTTCAAACATACTTGGTTTATATACCAGTCAAATAGACTGCAGCACGCCATAAAATATAGATATAAACAATCTAATTACTGAATAGTTATACAATAAAAATATATAGATAATATTACTTCACTAATAGTTCTCAGAAATTACTCATAATTTAATCTTCGCTAGGATATAACATATATGTATTACTTTAGCTCATTATTGAAAAGTCACAAACTTTTCTAAGTCAGTTGTCGATTTCTGTAAGGTATTTAACAGTTCTCTAACTTATACAGATTGATTCGTGATAAAAATGCACTTCAAACGGGCAAAATATTCATTGATCTATCATTACAACTATAATTTGTGTTACATACTACTTAAATCATCAAATATTAAATAGACACCTTGAAATTCTCTATCTATATTCACATATTTAACATTGTATCAACAATATGCTTTGATTCGCTTTCATTTTCTTTTTCTTCTCGCTATATTTTCGGATAATTAACTTCGACGAGTTACTCGGATCTGATATTGAATATTGTTTACTACTTAGTAGATTGATCGACATTACAATGGGTAGAAAAATTGTATTTCCGACGTTTCTTGACTTAATATAAGTCGCTTCTTCAGAGTAAATAAATAACTAAACATTAAATTAACACAAGTTCAGATAGTACAAAGGAAACAATGCAAAATATTTTTTTTTAGTACAATGAAAAGTATAATAGGTGTGGATATGTCAATGTCAAGTAATTTTGGTCAAGGTGAATTTGTATAGCTTGTCACTGTATTAATTTGTGTATCAGATTGTAGTTGTGAAAAATGTACGCATTTGTGATATGAAGTAGTGAGTTGAGTTGTGTGTCCATGTGCGTGTATGTAGGTAAAAAGAATACAAAAAAAGAATCTTTTAGTGTAACTTAAATGTTCTTTGGCACGAGTTGAGATCTTACAGGAAGACTCTTCAATAGAGTACAACTCATCACAATCAACACAGCCTAATGTGTAGACATAATTTTTTGAGTATAAATGAACTAATCAGTATATTATAAATAATAATATAGTTTGGATCGAGTTTAATTATGGAATTTAAAATTAACTTACTCCTGTTACTCCTCGTCGGAGAGCATAGGCCGCCCACCAACACTCTCCATCCAACTCTGTCCTAGTCAATCCTTCCCAGCTCTTTCCAGCTTTTATTCATCGTTTTCATATCTGCCCTTATTTTCCGACGTAATGTGCTTTCTGGCCTTCCACTTTTCCGCTTCCCTTCAGGATTCCAAGTTAGGACTTGTTTTGTGATGCAGTTTGGTGATTTGCGTAATGTATGTCCTATCTATTTCCATTGTCTTTTCCTAATTTCCTCTTCAGCTGGAAGTTGGTTTGTTCTCTCTCACAGAAGGGTGTTGCTGATGGTATCTGGGGGTTTCGAATAAGTATACTCGAAATTAAATCTATAGAATTTAGGTTTTTTTATAGATCTTTTTTTAGTTTTAAATAGACAGTAAAAGATTATTGTTAATGGTTGGTAAGTTTCAGACATTGGAATTCTGGACTGTTGTTGTAATTGTATTATGTCCAGCTGAGTTCTAGGTAGGATAAAATGTATATCCTGGATTCAGTTGTTAGCTTGCCATAAAAACTTACAAAAAATGACCATATTGAGACAATTGATCTAGGATATATATATTAAAGTAAATGATTGATCAATCACAGACTTAGACATCAACAGCGAGAGGATTCAAACACTTACAAATGAAATAGTTTGGGAACTGTGGATAAACGATTTAGTTTTTGTTCAGCTCATTACATTTGATTTGACATTTAAGTGTAGACGATATACACCAGATCTTAATTTAACCTCTGAACACAGTAAGTTCGATATCAACATTACTAAAAATCGTATCTAAGGCTATACTGATGATAAAGTGCTAGTTAGACAAAAAAAGATTCTTTTTAACTTACTTTGTGTATAACTATTTGTGGTCTACTCATATTTCGTAAATATTAGAAGTTGAATAGACGGCAAAAGTATGGTAAATAGCGGGGAACTAGCCAATCAAATAACTACTTGATAGTGTTTGTACGAAATAGCAAAATGAATGACTTAATCTTTTATTCTATTACATGTGCGATAGAAATACCTTTGTATAATACTCTTGATACCTACATTTGTTATCTCAGAGTAGAAACGATAATGTTAAAAGCATCAAGTGCTCACTTTTGAGTACCTATTTATGTACATTACGTAACACGTGAATCAATCAGTTTTGTTCGAGCTTATTTTAATTCTGATAAATTCGCTAAAAAGATATCTTATTAAAGGTTTATTGAATAATAATTAAACTAATGAAGTAAAGATATTAAAATAGATAACGATCTTCAACCCTGACTTTATTATATATATATATTACCACCACTGAATTAACTACTTCTATGAATTCGTTGTTCACCTTATTTTTGCTAATGAGATATGGCAACTTGAACCGATTCACATATATACCTGATCCTACGTTGTAGATGATTGACTGACAACGATCATTCCCCTATGATTTCATCTGTATATGCTAACATTTAAATTAGTGAGATGATGCATCAATCCTTCTATAATAGTAAAAATGATCCTTTAAAGGTTAATAAACTGCTTAAACTTACTAAACTCTAATAATTTTCATTAGTTTTGTTGTGAAACACTTCTAATTAGTACAAAATCTGCTAAGATTAAATGAACAAAGCTTTAAAACTAAGGAGAGTTACTTTAAGTATCACTCAATCTTTCTATATAATATAATTTTACCGATAAGATGATGTTGTCGGATAGATAAATTAGACTTTCATTTAACTATAGGTAGCGTAGGTAGAAATTGATAAAATAAAAGAGAAGGTAGGTTTTCACTAGTGCAATCTATTATTCAGTGTACTAATTTCATATTCGTAGATGAATCTAAGAACATTGACATCTTGAAAGATTACTAACCTTAGCTTAAAACTTATAAGGGATTGGATCTTACTGTTGCTTTAAGAAGTTTTTTTCTTCCATATATACCTTGTTAAAAAGTTTTGAGAACACTTTTTCTGTGTTTAAGTCGATTTTTTTCTCACAATTTTTTATGTTAGACTATTCCTAGACAATGTTGCCATAATGTTTGATCTTTGATGTTCAGGTATTATGTTAAAGTCACTTATAAGTGTTGCTTTACACTATGTATGGATCACTTTGTATGGATCAGATATTTATTTAATTTGTCTATGTTTAAATTTTGCTTTATTGATGTTATTTTAACTGAAATTTTTCTAGACTTTCTACTGTACATTGATAGATAGGGTTTATTGGAATTTTACTGGTTGAAATCATGAGTCAATTGAAGCTAGATCACCATGGAAGACCTGGAAGCACTGCACGGCCATGTCGTCCTAGTATGGGACTCCTCAGCAGTGCGCATCCACGATGCCGCCCCCCACGAGATTCGGACCCAGGACCTATTAGTCTCGCGCCAGACGCTTAACCAACTAGACCACTGAGCCGGCCGGCATCCGACGGTGTTAATGTCTAAGTTCAGCCAATCTACGAAGTTGCGCCACCGTACACCATTGTCTTCAGTGAGGTGATAACTCACAACAGACCTAGTTGAGCTCCACTGGTAACGAATTCTCACTAGAACTCCAGGAGTGTCTCCTGAAGTCAGTCACTAGTGAGCCGGTGATTATTATTAGCAGAATGGGTTTTGTGGAATTGTTTTCCTTCTGATGAGGATTATCGTGAAAATATAGTGAAAAGTTGAGATTAAAATTATATATAATGTGCAAAAATTTCCCCAAACATTGCTTCATCTGAATGAACTTGGTTTAATATACTTCATTTTGATGGAGTTTTGTTCTTTAAGCTGGATGGTTTGATCGTGCTCAAAGAACAAAACTCCATCAAAATCATCTACCTGAGCTACAAATCTTCTCCACCATCTTAATATACTTCAATTAGGAGTTTTTCATTTTCAAGAAGTTCTATAATTTAATTCATAACTTGAAAGCTGTTCTTTTAGAAGGTATTCAACAACTAAAGCTTACAAAGATGGGGATTAAATATATGAAATAAGAAGTTTTGCGCAGAAATGCGAAACGATTTTAGCAAAGCATCATGACTTAATGTATATCATTACAATGATTAGAAAATCAAGCTGTTCAGAAAGATTTTCTACAGGGATGTGACTAGTTTTTTGTTGAATTGACTATTAATTTACTTGAAATCGCTATAATTTAGCTTTGTAGTGTTGAGGGAGTTTTGTAGAGATTGTTCTTACTTGTCATAAAATGGATCTCATTAGGGGTTTACTTCGAGGTGAATTTATGAAGTTCTTAAATGATTTGTGTTAATCGATCGCAATTTTCATAATGAACAATACTACTATTAGTGTGAGGGATTTCGTGGAGATTGCTGAATTTTATAATTTTACATCACAAACTGACCTTAGTTAAACAGTTATTCAAAACCAGGAGTCACTGGACAGATATTTCATACTAGTGTGGTACTCCTCAGAATTGTGCGTGCACAACTTACCGAGGATCAAACTAATTACCTTCAGATCTCAAGGCTTGAGCTTAACCATTAAATCAGTGAGTCGACATCCAATGAGTTAAATGTTTAACCTCAACCATTTAACGACGATCTTTAAATATAATTGGTGGGGGACTTCTTTATATCCAATATAGTTGAACTCTACTGGTTAGGGTTGCTCAATAGAACTCCGAGAATTGTTTTTTTAAAGCACATTATTAGTATAAGGATGTTCTTGGAGGTTGCTGAATTTTATAGACGGAAGTGTAGATCATTGTGCGTCAACTCAGTGGTCTCAAGGTTAATAACTCACTGAGAGACTTAACGGTCCTGAGTTCGATTTCTGTCAGGGTCAGAGATATTCTCTGCCTGGGATCCCCACACAAGAACGGGACATTTGTCCATTGATTCTTGATTTTTAATTATTCTCAGCCAGTGATATGAACTATGAAATACTAACAGTAATCATGTATATTTACACTAATGATTAATTTCCAGAGGCAATTCCTGAAGTTCTAATGAGAAACAAAAACTAGCTAAGTTCAACCATGTAGGGCGTGAGACAAGTACTACTGATGGTAATGAATGGTGATTGTAAATTAATAACTGAAGTTATAAATATAAACAAATATATTTTAACTCATCATGATCTATGATAGTTCTAGATTCGATCCTTGATCACAATCTAGGTGATAATCAATAAGTAGTCCTATACTAGAACTAAACTATAATTATTAAAAATTCTTAACTATTTTGATACACAGATTGTTTGTGTAGTCTTGAATGTTATGTTGTATTCACTCCAAACTTACCTACTTATGATCCTTATGTACAAATAATATGTTTATCTTTTTTGTGATCAGAAGATTGAAACAAATTTGTTTATGTTTATTTTATCAAAAGAAAAAAGAAGAATGATGATTTCATTTACTTAAGCTTTCTATATTTAACGAATAATAATAATATGATAAAAGTTCATGAAGAGACCCAACTTCGAGATCAGCAGACTGGATTCCGTAAGGATTGGTCGTGCACAGACCAAATTGCGACACTACGAATCATCGTCGAACAATCAGTTGAATGGAACTCCTCACTATACATCAATTTCATTGATTATGAAAAGGCGTTTGGCAATGTAGATAGGAGAACGTTATGGAAACTTATTCGACATTACGGAGTTCCTGAGATGATTGTCAACATTATCCGGAACTCATACGACGGACTACATCAGAATATTCTTTCTCGTACTTTTACATTGATTAGATGACAGATTGTTTCTGAGGTTGAGTTAACCATATATTTAAATAAAATTGATTAAACATTAAATGTTATATATATTCACTAACACTAAGGAATAAACAAATACGACAGTAATTCCTATTTGATGATCCTAAAGGAAATTATTCACTAGTCGGATAGATTAATGTTAATATATCAGATCATGAAACTGATTGACCTGAATTGAAATCCCACAGGAAATATTAATTCCTCCAACAATTCATGTACTTCTTACGAACAAGTGCCAAATAATTCAAAAAGCAAATCCCAAGTCAACTATCGACTAACATCAACAACCTAACATTGAAACATTGAAACTGATCATTAGTCTAAGTGACTAAATATCACATATACTCTATTTCGAAGTGAAGTAGTTAGAGGTTGACAATAAGAAACATTTTTTTTGTTTTTCAGACACTTTAGTGATTTACTTTAATGTTTTTTCCCACCTATTTTCTTTTTCCTTTTTATCTTTACAGAGAGTCATATATATCTACTAATGATAATAAGAAAAGATTTATACCTAAGAATTTTATTCATTCTATTCATTATATATCTTTCTATGGATTATTGTACAACATTTAAACTAACCAAATCCCATTATCATCATCATCATCATCATTATTATGATTATTTACCAAGAACATATTTATCATCATTACCATTAGAAAAACGTTATGAATTATTTGAACCATTAGATACTAATTTAGTTAGAGCCATGTTTATTGGTCATACAGATCATATACCTAATCATCAATACAATATGAAAACTAATAATATCGATGATAATAATAATAATAATAATATAGATGATAATATTTATAATCCAAGAAATGATCGGAATAATAATAATGATTATACTAATACTAATAATAATAAGAATGTAGATGAAGCATATTATACAAATTCAAAAAATCATCTTGGAAGTCTCATGAGATATGGATGAATGAATGTAAATGAAGAAGAATGTAGAAGAAACAACAACAATATATATACGAAGAGTAATTAGGCATTCAACAATGACACTTATAAACAGAATGAAACAATTCATTATAAAGCTTATTTAATGTGACTATGTATAATCTTATTTTGATTTATATACGTATATATTTATAAACATAGATTCAATCTTTATTTGCTTAAACTTGCAGACATAAAAAACATTTATGAGAATGAAATGTACGATTTGTTTCTTAGAAATAAATCAATATATTCGTAATATCCCAATGAATAGAAAAATTAGATTTTCTGAGGTTTCGTAACTTAGCGTAAGTCACTTCTTCAGAGAATGAATAAATAACCGAATCAAAATTATTATCAGAAGGGGTTTTGTGGAGATTTTAGTAATTTCAGTGGTTGAAATTATGAGTCAATTGAAGCTAGACCACTAATGGAAAACCTGGAAGCACTGGACAGTCGTTTCGTTCTGGTATGGAAATCCTCAGTAGTGAGGTGGCGCAATTTCGTGGATTAGTTGAAGTTAAACATTAATACCATTGGATGCCGGCCAGCCCAGTGGTCTACTGGTTAAGCACTCGCGGGCGAGACTGACAGGTCCTGGGTTCGAATCTCGGGGGGGGGGGGGCAGGATCGTGGATGCGCACTGCTGAGGAATCCCACAGTAGGACAAGCGGCTGTCCAGTGACTTCAGGTTTCCCATTGGTGATCTAGCTTCAACTGACTCATGATTTCGACTATTGAAATCAAAATTAATCCAAGTTTAAATAGTACAAAGGAACAACATAAGAATATTATGTGCGATCAATAAAAAAACAGGTCTGAATAAATCAATGTCATGTCATTTCGGTCAAGATGATTCATAAACGACATGTATGTAAATTTGTGTGTATATATGTGTGCACTGTCTAGGGATGAAAATAGTGTGACCTTTATGGTGAGAAATGGCACAAGCAAAACAATACCAAGTGAATTTAAATTCACCTCATTGCACAAGCAAGTGGCTATCAGGAGTCAGTAGTTAAGTGGATAACGCTTCGGCATTTGATGCGAATGGTACTGGGTTCGAGTCCCAGAGTGAATATCAACTCAGATGCACGTACATCCAGCTAACGAGTCTCGTCCTGGATTCCACTGCTAGCCACTATCCATGTTTGCTTATAAAGCTTGTGAATTAAGGCAAATATCGAGGCAATACGCGCAGTATGCACATATGCCAATAAGAGATTGATCAACTGCAGTCCTAAAAACCTTAATGTGAAGATACAAGCAAAACAATACCAAGTGAGGATAGAGTTTAATTTGTAAGATAATAGTGTGAATTGTAAATAATACCAGACAAGATGGCTAGGATAGATAGTCCAAGTAGGATGTATGGTAAGGCCTTCTTTTCTATTGGGAGAAGTAGGATTAAGCATTATGTGGAACGCTTCAGCTACTCTCCTTTCTTTGTAGTTGGAAAAACCTTTTTTAAATATTAATTCGGTTATTCATTCTCTGAAGAAGTGGCTTACACTAAGTCACAAAACGTCAAAAAATCTAACTTTTGTACTCTTTGGGATATTACAAATACATTAATTTATATATAACAATCTACCCAATATTCAATCTATTCGAACTCATCAGATTCGTTTCTTGTTAATAATTTTTCTTAGATATTTTTTTCTAAGAATAGGAAGGAGTATATGAAGTAACTGAAGATGGTTAGATTGGATTCCCTTTAATTTCCATCATTAAAACGCAATTTAGTAAATATTATATTAACTAGTTAACTAATTATTGAATTGGGGCATTAACACCGTTGGATGGTGGATCAGTGATCTAGAGGTTAAGCGTTCGCACGTGAGGCGGAAGGTTTTGGATGCGAATCCCGAGTTCGGGATTATGAATACATACTGTTGAGGAGTCTCATGCTGGGACGAAACGACCATCCAATGCTTTCAGGTTTTTAATGGTGGTCTAACACTGATCGGTTCATGATCTCAACCAAAAACTGAACAATCTCCATAATCCCATACTGATAATTACTAAGAGAGTGAAGATTCCTGTGGAAACTTTTCAGAAGTCAGAAAGTTGTTGAAAATACTTCAGCTAGTTATTTTACCTTAGAGAATTTTGATGTGGATTCTTGAAAATAATGAATTACGTTTTTATTATCCTGAATAAACAATTACTGAATTTGTTACCAACTTTATCCTGTTTTCCAGAAGCTTCTAAGTTATCAAAGACACATTTATTTCTACAAATATCTTTGTTTTTTGTACATCAACTAACCTTGGAAGTAAGGATCCTCCATTATTGTACAACATTTGCTTTTCTATCTCAGAATTCAAGAATATCAAACTTTTGGGGATTACAAAGCGGTTAAGAAGTTAATGTCTGAGAGCTCAGGTACAAGATATACCACTAACTAATAAAATAAGCTATATTGTGAGATAACAGAGAAGCCAGACAACTCAGGAGAAAGATTGTGAATGTATTTCGTTCTCTCAGATACTTGATTTAATCGTGACTAAAAGCTTGTTCTGTCAACAGTTTTAGTCAGTTAGGAAGAAATTGTAATGACTCTTTACAATCTTAGGTTTATGCTATTATAATGATATTGATTAGAAGGACAATTGAAGGTCTATAATTAAACGGAGAACCGAACACCTACAAAAGATGTTCTCTTATATATAAAATAGTGATAATGAAGTTTTAAAATAAATATCATCAGGGAACACTAAATATATCAAACTTTCATAGATCTTATATCTATTTCGTAATTCAGTTCTGTAGTCCGTAAATTTCAAACGATATTGATTATCCGATCCATCTGCTAAATGAGATATATATTCAATCGATAATCTACAACGTAAGATCAGGCACATATATGTATCGGCTCAAGTTGCCATACAGCATTAGCACAACACGATGAACACCAGATTCAGAGAAGTAGTTACTTCAACGGTAGTTTTATATAAAGGAGAGTGTATATAAGGATACGAAACAGGAAGAAAGAGAGATAGAAAGCGATTTTAATCTCACGGTTTAAGGGAAGAAAAAGAGTGTATACACCGACGCCACTGTCACCAAGAGTTTCTAACCATTGGCTACGATAGTCACGCGGACCACAACCAAGTAGTCTGCATCTACCAACATAGCTCAGACTAGAAGTTAATGTCTTCAAGCACTGACGCCACGTTTTGGTTTGGCCACCCCTAACTTTCTTCCAACCATCCCCAACACCAGTTAGCATTGCGTGTCGTGGTAATTGGTGTTCAGGCATACGTAACACGTGGCCCAACCAACTCAGTCTATGGAGATTTACAACCTCACCAACTGATTTACCATTATTCCCTAATACTCTGCGTCTAATCTTACCATTACTTACCCAGTGATCCCAACAGATGCTGGCAATATTTCTAAGACGTTTGTGATCAGATACTAGTAAATTGTGAGTATCTTCTACTCTTAATGGCCACGTTTCGCAGCTGTAAAGTAGAACAGAACGGACTACCGCGCATTCCACTCTCCCCTTTATTGACAGACGGATATCTCGCCTTCGCCTTAAGTGACATAATTTGGCAAAAGCCAAACGAAGTTTCTGAATCCATGCACAGATTTCGTCAGACACCAACCCAATAGAGCTGGTCAGACTTCCAAGATAAGTGAGGTTGTCAACGCGCTCTACTACTTTACTCTCTGTCTTTTGTTTAGGTGTTGACGCAGGCCAGTCCTGAAGCAACAACTTGCATTTAGATGGGGAGAAACGCATCTCAAACATCCTGGCATTGTTGCTCAGTGCCACCAAAAGACACTGAATTTTATCAGCGTCTTCACCAAACAGGACTATATTATCTGGGTATTGTAAGTCGATAAGTGGACGATCTCGTAGGAGATCGATGCCCGAGAATTCAGTCGACGAGAGCGTTATTTTTATCAGTAGGTATATGACAAAGTTAAACAAAAATGGAGAAAGTGGATAGCCTTGACGGATACTACCTGAGGTTGCAAAAGCAGATGATATTTCGCCATAATCTCTGACTCGATTAGTAGTATTCGAGTAAAAAACCTCCATAAGGTTTATGTACTTTCGAGGTACATCTTTCAATGACAAACACTGCCACAGAACCTTTCAGTCTACAGAGTCAAATGCTGCTTTTAAGTCAAGAAAGACCACCATTATCGGACGCCAATAAGCATGCCTATGCTCTAAGATCTGACGAATGGTGAATATGTGGTCGATGCAGCCACGACCAGTTCTGAAGCCAGCCTGATTTTTTCGTGTATGTAGTTCACGAGTCTTAGTTAGGCGTCTGATAATTATCGAGGCTAGTATTTTAGCTACTAAATTAGTTAAACTAATCCCTCTATGGTTGTCACAGGACGATTTTGACCCTCTCTTATATATTGGGGCGATAAATGATTGCAACCAGTCAGATGTGATTACATTCATTACATTAAATTTTAGCTCAAATATTAGCCAACCTAATTGCCAACATTTGACCAACATCCTTAATGAAATCTGAAGCTAATCCATCTGGACCAGCTTCTGTGCCTTGTTTCAGATTAGCCATAGGTTTTTGGACTTCAACTGGAGTCGGGGGCCTGTTTCAATGTTCCATCCAGGTTGTTTGGTAATGGGTGGATAGTTGTAGAGTAGCTGAAGGCCAGCTGAACTTCTCAAAATTTTCCGCCCATCGTTCTAAACGTTTGGGCTGAGAGCAGCTGAGAGTGTCGTCTTTTCCGAGATCGTCCCACTTACACTTGATCTCTTGATTCCAGTTTATTTTATTAGGCTGAAGAGCTGTCTTGTGTTACCTACCTTCGCCGTCTTTTCCATCTCTTTCGTTGCCCACTACTGCCCACGGTCGTTCCTTAGACTTTTGCTTAACCTAGATCTGACTTGCTTACGCTGCTCATCGTGTTCGGAACCTCATGGAATGAGTTTACGAGAATCTATCAGTGCAATAGACTTAGAAGAAATCGATTGATTTTTCGTAACCCTTTGGTTTAAATCACTAATATATGTCGCTGATGTTTCCACAGCTGTTTGTATATCTTTCCAAGTAATATCTGGGTCAGACTCATTTTCAGAACTAGCTAAGTATG